CTAAAATATTGGCCGTTGAGCCAAGTTGTCAGGTGGATTTGATTAAAGACAAAGATCGCGGGTACGTTTTTCATGTTTCATATTGACTAGTATCATCCAGTATGATTTCGTACACCCAGAAAGTTCTGAAAGACATTTATCAGTCACGTCATTCAACTGCATATTTCTGAATTGCAAATGATTACTTTCCTTTCAGCTATATGTATTTCATTCAAATTCTCAACGACCCTCACACAAATCCCAGACAAAAAATTGTTCCCGCATACGTTACAGCAGCTCTTATTGAGAATAATTACAAGTTTGTTCTTTGTCGATCATTCATTTTCGTCTTTCTTCTTTTGAATTTGAGTTTTGATTTCTGAAAGAGGACAGATTTTTTTTTTGAAGAAATTTTGGGTGATAAATTAAAAGTCCGTTTCGAATGATAAGATGAAATACAAACCAAAGAGTATAAAATTTGTTGCATGTGACATGTGACAAGTTATATTATCATGTTTCGCAGCTCTTCCAATCCTTTATTCTTTTGATTATCCGTTTCTTCATAATGACAACTAAGAATTGTGTGAAATAATTCGGAACGGAATTCAGACCAGCACAAGAGTTGCTGACCGAGAATCGTTATGTGACACTTTGCATCGAATTACTCTCGGACACAGCCTTAGGGCAATGTCGTTTATTACGCCTTTGGTTATTGATCGGTTTGGGTCGTCTTTGGGCCGATCATAACGATGCTCGTTGGCAAGCTATCCGATTGGTTGCCTATGAAAGGGTGAGAGCAAATTTATGTGACTTTCAGTGTAATGTTAATCAGTTTGATGTTCAAGGAATGTTTTTATGGATAACCTTTCGCTAAATCGTCGTCAAATGCAATTTCATTAGACTTTTTATCGCTCTTCATGAATACGCATCATCTTAAAACATTGATTTAAACGTTGCAAATGTTCCAATGCATGGATGTGTCACGAAATATTCCCTTCCTTAACAGTCACTAAGTAGATCGAATGAAAGGTCGGATATATTCCAGGTACTGGAATTTCTAGATGACAGTGTGCCTGAGGTTCGAGCAGCAGCGGTTTATTCTTTGGGATGTCTGGTGAGGAATCGATCAGAGTATAACGAACACGCAACAACGGTATTATTGCATTCACATCTCCTCTATTTATGCCAAATCATTTCGTATTTGTCTTAGCGCTCGTCAAATGATTCATTCACATAGTCATTCTTTGAGCGTTTATGTTGAATGGTGTTCAAACAAATAGGAAATTCAGATTGATCATGAAGTGTGCGATAAACTGTCAGCGAAATGTACATTCGATGGTTCGGTTCTGGTAAGGGCAGAGCTGGTTGTTGCGATGCAGTGGTTCATCATTGACTTCGAAAATCGTTTCGCGAATCTCACCATCGATCTCGACGAGAAAATCGACAGACTTTCGAGTGAAGGGAGAACAAGGAAAACATCGGTAAATTATCGTTGCAATAGCACTTTGCTCTATGCTTGATTCAGTCATTGTTCTCAATGAGTTTCTCACATTCCAGCTTGATTCGCTGAATAAATGTGTGACTGGAGTCGAATAAATTTGTTGCGTTTAGTTTCTGTTAGAGATGTACTTATCTGCGGGTGTATGAACGTTCCAGTTTGCGAGTGAAATTTATCGTTCATTTAAACTGGAATTCAGTTTGAAGTCATATTGAAGTCGTCAATATACTTGTGTTTCCAAGATAGTGCTCAGCGATATTTCATTCAGTTATAATCTTTTAATCGTATGTATTACATCGCCAAACCATTTTCAAGTCATTGAGTTCGTAAGTGTTTTTAGGCTGGTGATCAAGGCTTGGATAGTGTGTTGTTGGCGAGTTCCGAAGAGGATCATCGCGAAAGAATGAAAAACTTAGCGAATAGTGGCTATGGGTATCCTTTTTTTATTGGAACATTTTATGTTTGTTCGAATTGTGCTTTATAAAATATCGTAATGTTAAACCGAAAATCATTCTCAACAGAATTCATCAAGTAGCTCGTAATAATTTATTTCATTAAGTTAACTGGCCGTCATGGGAATGCTATTCGTTTTCACGAAGTAATCAGCGAGTGTAATTCCGATTTAAAAAATTTCAAAATTTCAGAACATTACCACGTCATAAGTCAAATGCCTCTGAACCAGTGGCGTTCGCACCTCGCCGATCGAATTCGATGAATTTAGGTTCGCTTATTCTTGTGTTTCATCGTGGAGCACT